ACTAGAGGTAAGGTCCACGAAGGCAGCAGCAGCACTGGACCCTCCTTCGTCCACAATCGGGACAGCTAGTACGCCGGCTTCATCGGCAATGGCAGAGGATGAAGCTTTCTTCGACTTCTTGGCGGGCTGCATACCGGCCTCAGTCAGCTTCCTCTGGGATTCCTCCGCCGGTCGTTTTTTCTTCGGTGGGGGAGGTGGCCTCATCGTCGCATCACCACCAGCAGCTGCCTTCGCCGCAACCTCCTTGGCGGCCAACTCTGCCTTGGCCCTCGCAGCGGCCTTGTTCATCACGGATCGTCGATCCATTACGAAGTCTGCACAACAAAGAAACAAGTCAGCAAAATAAAAAGACAAAGTAAAATGAGGACGCCGTAGGGGGTATTACCATCAGCTTCGGCAGGAACGCCCAGATCGGGGCCGTCGGCCTCCTCGAAGGTCGTGGTCATCTTCGGCCACAGTTGGAGGTCATCTTCCTTATCACCATACACGAAGTATCTAAAGAAGCCGATAGTGGTCATCTTGTACTCCGTGATGTAATCCTTCACACTCCTCGGCCCCCCTCCAAGAACGCCGCCACCTGAGCATCTAGGATTGAACTCTTGGGCGGATCATGAAGGGTAAACCTTCCATCATGGCCGACGGAGGGGAACTCAGTGCCATCCTCGCCCAGGGACACGAAGACAAACTTGCTCTTCCAACCGTGTATGGATGAAGGCAAGTCCGTGAAGGTCCTCTTCTTCGGCAGCTGCTGCAGAGTGGCGTAGCAGGCACAATTCTTTGTGGCTCCCTCGGCCAATCTGATAGAGGTTCATGAAGAGGGTCGTTGTCGGCCTGTAACCCAACTCAGCACAACGGAGAAGGAACCCCACCGTCAGCGAGTAGCTATTAGGGGTCAGCAAGGCCGGAGGGAGCCCCACCATGTCCAAATACTCCTGGATGAAGGGATGAAGGGGAAACCTCAGCCCCTTGGCGAAGCTCATCGGATACACTCCAAAGTATCCCGCTGGTGGATTAAGCACGTGGTCCGTCGGCCTAGGCGCCCTAACCCTCCCAAACGGCCCCACATACATCTGTGCGACCAAATAGTCAGCGGCACTGCTCTCCGACTTGATAAGGAAAATGTTGGTAAGTTCCAGGTAAGAGAAACCTGGCCCCTTCTTCGGCCGCCTGTTCCTCTTCGGCCGCGGTAGCCCCTTCAAAGCAGACACCGGCTTCGGGCACAGGATGGTAGTAGAGGCGGACGCCCCGTCCACTACGCGGGTAACCCCTGCGTCCTCACCCTCGGATGACGAAGCGGACCCTTCGTCCTCGTCCTCCTCGTCCACAGTATCTCCGGATTTATATGGGCTCAGGTGTTCGATCTCTTCGGCGCACTCCTCGATCACATCGTAGTCAAGAGACTTGGCGGAAGGCTCGTCATCGTACGGGTAATACTCCTCGTTTAAGGATTTCATCTTAAACAACTCCTAAGTCCTAACGCACTAAGGGGAGCTACTTTAGATCTAAAGTGTTTTTGTGACTAACACCGGATCAAAACCTAGAGAGAGCAAAAAGAAGATGAGAAACATGTGGAGCGCCTCTACATGCGGCCACACCATGAATATCTCCTTTGCGTTCTGCCTGCCATAATAAACACTTAATCCTTCCGCCACCAGAATAAATAAATAAATAAATAAATATATAAATAAATAAGGGATCCCCTGCCTTAGGCCACACATCGGAGTAATTAGCCCAATGGACTCCCGATCAAACTGGATATAATAGTACTGATCAGTACTAATACATGTCATAATAATCTGGATCCATCTCACATCAAAAACTATCTGCTCCATAATGCCACGTAAAAAACCTCAATCAACGCGATCATAAGCTTTACTCATATCAAACTTTAATGCTTGTCAAACCTTCCCTACCATATCTCTCCCTTTTAATGAAATGTTGCGTTTGAAACGCAACCATAATATTATCCACAATCGACCGCCTAGTATAAAAACACTCTGATTCTCCCCCGCTAGAGCGCCTAAACTCCCTTTAAATCTATTTTCCAAGACTTTGGGAAAAAAATTATAGACCACCTTACACAAGGCAATCAACCTCCAATCTTCCATATTTCAAAGAATTCTCTAATTTCAAGACTAACACAATATTAGTAATATTTAGTTTTGCGGGAAATTCACCCATTCAACAATATGTGAGCATAGAGAAATAATATCTACCCCAAAATATCCCAAAAGTCTGAAAAACGCAGGATTCATACCATCAAAGTAACTCCTATGACCCGATTTTGTTTTCTCGAGACTCTACGAAAATCATCAACAACTATCCCCTAAAACTCTCCCGTACTGGCACCAAACAGCCCCACAAAGTAATCCTTTACGATTGTTCCAATTAGAACACTGTCCATAGTCCACACTCCTTCATTTCCCAAGCCCACACTATCTTATTCCTCCGCCTCTGCTATCTGTTCCTTAAAACTTTATCAACTTTCTTTTTTGGTTGTCCCACTAAATTTGACATTTTCCCTTTTAAGTAAATAATTTGTGGTTTCGAATAATTGTCTCTTCTCTGCACAAATCTTTATCACACAATTTTTATTTTATTAATCCTCGTGTCAGTCAAACTTGATAAAGTTTTAAGGGACAAAAGTATTACTTTAGAAATATTATGGGAGTTATAAATATTTGTTCCTCTTATAAATTACATCTGATAAGAATAAATGTGTGTATCCTATATGAATCAGTGAAAAAAATCCGGAAGTTGAAACATGCCCCTAAAAAAAGAAGAACAAAGAATTACAAAACATAATTAATTACAAAATCTTTAGGACTAAAACGTCGTTTAATTTCTCCCAAAAATTTCGCATGTTTTGTGAGATTCGTTGGCGTAAGGTCTATGCCGAAAGTCACACCATGAACAATGCCCCTGATTTATAAATATTATTATGCCTGATTGATCCACTTTCAACCTTTTCAGATTTTTTTGCTCCCTCAACCACACCTTTTACGACAGCGTTCGACATTTTTATTATTAATAAATAAATTACGGCGTATATATTTATTTTTGTCCTTTTCATAAATTAATTAGAACATGCATCAAATAATTAATATTCCCACTCTGTAGCATCAATGATTCTTTTAAATAAACACTTCATTAGTTCATCATTAACAATTTACATAGACATTGATTATTCAATTTTGAATTTTTGTCCTATAATTCGTCCACGCTGAAGCTTTTTCACTTGAATGTACAACTTTTAGCGGAAAATTGTAACATTTTTTTGTAATTTAGCGCTATTACTCTTATTTGTATTTGGTGGAACTTATTTTAATGAGCACATTATTTCCTTTTGCCAGCCTCTTAATTGTTGTAAAAAAATTCCAAAAACTTGATGGAATTGTCATTTTTTAAAACCATGGGTTGAGATCTAATGTTTAAATTCACTGTTAAATAGTGTATTTATATTTTAAAAACTTAACCTCATGAATGGTACATGCAGCTCCAAATGAGTTTTAGTTAGATTATTACTACTATTATTGCATTGATTATCCATCTTTTACTTTTTAAGGTTATATACTTAAGCATGCTATTAGAATAATTGTTATAGTTACTATAAGTCACTAAATAATTGTTAAAGTTTGAACATAATAATAATCATCAAAAGTTACTAAATACGAGTAACACTTTTGTCCATATCTTTGTTTATTAGTGATATTTTAGGGAAAATCTCATTTATTTTGATAGTCCTCATTGAATTTTTCCAATTTAAATTAAAATGTCCCCCCTTAATAAGTTCAAATTAAACTTCTCCCTTCTTTCCCTTAATATAGTTGAAACTTATAAAATTTATATTTTTGTAAGTTTATGAAAGTATTTTTAATAAATACTTCATAACACTTTCATATCGTTTGTATATTGTAAATAATTTCGGTAAAGTGTTTAGTTGGTCAAAGTTAAATTTCCATTACTACACTATTTGTTTCTCTCTTTAATATTCGCACCCTAATTACCTCCACCACTATATTTAAGAGATAATTAATGGACATTTTTATACTCAATTGTTCTATGAATTAATGCAATGGTCCTCATGGTCTCGATCATTGGAGATAATGAGAGAAGTTGGAGAAAGGCTGAAACAAATTAAATAGCAAATATTTTTGACTTTTCATTTAAACCTCTTATTTTAGCTTTATATATATTATATATCAAAGTTATATCTAAATGTACATTTAAAATCATGCTTGATTTTTTGTCACCATTTTAACTTAGTTGCTATGAGAATAGCTATTGTCACCATTTTAACTTAGTTGCCTTGAGAATGGCTAATTCACATAATATATCAAATTAAGCATTTTTAAAAAATAGTTCTCACTATTGAGTCAATTTAGCAAAGACCATATATTTTTATCAAATAAAAAAAGAATTTTCCACCGTATAATTTTATTGTAATAAATAAATTTAACCGATCAAAATTGAATTATGTTTAGAAAAAAAAATCCAATATGACAAAACTTAAAGGCATGAATGGAGTAATATTTTAGCTTAAAGGCTTAAAGTCTCAATCAAAAACTAGTTGTGACATTCCTAGGATGTTTTGTTTTGGACTGAAATTTAATGATTTGATCTGGTAAATGTCTAGTCTCTGTATATTTTATAATTATCTAAGTCTGAACTGATATGTTTAAGTATGATCTGATCTGATCAATTTAAGTTTGATCTGATTTAATCTGAAAATGAAAGAAAACATTTCTATTGCAATGGTAAAATTTTAAAATCTCGTATAACATACGCCATAATTCATAAATTATTATCCGGAACAATAGGTAAAGTAAGGTAAAAGAAGTAGTGAAGTACTCCGAATTTTAATTACTCCCTCCGTCTTTAATAACTTTGCAAAGTTTGATTGGCACGAGAAAGAATAAAATAAAAACTGTGTTGTTAAGGTTTGTGTAGAGGAGAAAGAATGAGCTGGAAGCACAAATTCTTTAATTAAAATGGAAAGTGACAAAGTTAGGGAGACATCTGAAAAAAGAAAGTTGACAAAGTTATAAGGGACGAAGGTAGAGACAGTAATTAATTTTTCTTTTAATTAATTAATTAATGCTACCAAAAAAATAAAAGAGGCAGTAATTAATTAATGCTACCAAAAGACCCAAATTCGAAGGGTAAACGCAATAGGGATAACGGATTTACAGGGTGCAGTTTAAAAGCAGCTTGTAGCTATTCCATCTCCTTCCCTCTGCAACCTGAGAATTATTTTCCCCCTTTTCTCCATTTGATTTTTCAATTCAATACTACAACCTCGCCTGCATCCAGAATGGACGCGGAACGGGAGAGTCTGCCTCGCTTGACCGCGCTTAGTGGTACTGCCACCGTCACCGGAGGTAACAGCTCCGACGGTGATGCGCCTCCAGCGACCTCCTCCCCTGCCGTCGTCAATCAGATTACCCAGCTCATCCGCTCCGATGACCCCGCTTCCAAAATTCAAGCAGCGCTGGAGATCAGACGTCTCACCAAGACTTCCCAGCGCTACCGCCGACACTTCGCTAACGTCGTCGGACCGCTCGTTGATATGCTCCACTCCAGCGCCATCGAATCGAACGAGGCAGCTCTCCTTGCCCTTCTTAACCTTGCCGTCAAAGACGAATTGTAAGTGTCTTCCCGCTTACACATGAACGGTTATAATTTCTTAAATTGTTGAATCTTTTTTTGCTTTTCAAAATCGGATCAATCTGCCATGAGAAATGTATCCCTTTCACGCCTTAATTAAATTTCTTGCGCTGTTTTCTTTCATTGCTGTTTTAAGTGTATTGCGTTCGCTTCTTGCCTTTTCAGTTTCCTCATTTCTCTCATCTCCTCTTCAGGGAAGAATTGGTGATGCTTTCATTTCTTTTGTGCCCTCGCTCTTTACAATCTCCTTCAATCAATCATTTGTTCTTTCTTTTCTGGTCCTGCTTTGGTGGGTTGCAGATCAAACATGACATACCATAGTCCATAACACTCCGTGGATTATAAATAGTACCTTGGTAAAGATTGATATTTGTCTTTTTACTTCAAATATGGTCCACCTAAAAATGCTATATTTCCTTGAATTATTATTGCTTCTGAAATGTGGTCGTTATCTCAAGTTTTAAATATAGGATATGTTATGCTTTATCACGAAGTTAAACTCATGTCTAACTCTTTACACCAAATTGGTGTAAACATCAAAAGTGTTTTCTATGCTAACCCTTTACCTATTTATCAACCGAAACTGAGAGAAAGGGGGAAAACATTTTCTATATTTCCGCTTTACCTACTTTTTGTCCCCAGTTTTTATCAAACAACAAGAGAATGACACATGAGTAGTGTTTCACCAAATACAGTGTTTTGGTGACATGGCGTTTGAGTTGGAACAAAGGTTGGACGAGTGTTTGTGCATAATAATATAGAACGGTGTTAGAGTTGGAATTTCTCCAAGCTTTCAGCTTTAGATTACATCTACGGACCCACTTATAATTTGAGATTGGATTTCATGTGTTTTTACGGAAAAGGATATATCAGGTTTCTTTTATATCTTGCAAAGATGATTAAAGTTGATGACATATTCACAAGCTTTTATTTTAATTTTAATTTATATTTTTTTCCTTTTTTAAATCGGTGACTTAGAATGAAATGCTTTTTGATTCATATTGGTTAGGTTGCTGGTGGCCATGTTTTGTTATTCTCATGTTTGCCTTTTCTTCTATCTTGTCTGTGAAGCTTTCACGTGTATTGGATTGTGATCCATTAGAAAAATTCCATACTTTGTACTTAAGTCCCCCGCCCCCACCCCCCACCCCAAAAATGGCACAGTAGGCTGTTTCTACCTGCGGACCTGCCTAACCAAATAGGTAATCAAATAATCAATTAAAGAATATGAATATTGCATATTTCTTAAAAGGTTCTTTCATCATCTAACCTGGGGAATATCATCTTTTATCTTCTTTTCTCCATAAAGTATTAAGGAATCTAGTAAACATATGTGTGATCTTGGAGTGATTTGGTTTTACTTTTGGATGAAGTTGCAAGTTGATGCTTCCCACTAGAAATGAGTTTTATATTCTCCTGCTTAGTTTTGCTGATGCTATCTGTACTCCACGCTTGTAAGCCTACAGTCATGGATTGATATGAGTTCTTCTTCATCTTCCCAATCAATTTAACCTCATACATAGATTTTTTATAATTTTATTAGGCATCCTACTAGCTCTGCAATGAGAAACCTTTTAGTTCCAGGTTTTATTATGTCACACAAACGATGAGGAATTCAAATATAAAGGTTGTACAGAACAGTGAAAAATTGCATCCCCTTGAGCATTCCCGTAGTTAAATAAGTAGTGGCTGACATGACTAGAAACAAGTTATACTATCCTTTCTTCTTCATATGTTGACATTAGTCTTTGACATTTGCCATGCCTTTTAGATTTTAAATGAAGTGTGATTTACTTGTTTGGTCTAACTAATTTTGTTAGATGAGTGGCTTAGGGAATTGTCTACAGACTGACTATGAGCCCATTATTTTCGGGTAAAAATTTGTTGAAATGATTGAATCGGCCGAAGTATCTAAAAGTATATTTAATTTTTTTAAGAACGTTAATGAGAATATATCCAAATTATTTCTGTAGAAGGTTATTTTTCTCTATTTAAGTCATTCAACAAAAATCTAACACTTGTACCATTTATAACCCCCCATTTCAGAGAATGAGTCATATAACTATATAAGGTAGTATTTTTGTAAAAAGATGAAATTGATGATGCTGGGGGGTATGACCAATTAGTAAGGACCAAACAGGCACTCAATTCGTGTTTGGATATACAACCACTTGCCAGTTGTCAGTTATTGACCAATGAGTAAATACCAAACGGGCACTCAATTCGTGTTCAAAGATATTTTTGTTCCTTCCCTCTTCTTTTAAATACAGTTGTTAACGTGTACAAAAACATGAAGTTTAGTACTCTAGTAAAAAGCATCTCAAAAGTAATCATGCAGCAAAAGTAGTTTCATTACATTATATGCGTCTTTTTGAAACCTTTAACTTACAAATATTTTTAAATCTTTTTGCAGAAACAAGGTAAGAATAATAGAGACTGGGGCTCTGCAACCTATAATAGGATTTCTACAGTCCAAGAATTTGACTCTGCAAGGGCACGCAACTGCATCACTCCTCACGCTATCTGCCTCTCCCGTCACAAAGCCCATCATAACTGCTTCTGGCGCGATCCCTCTTCTTGTCAAAGTCCTAAGAAGCAGTGGCACCCCGCCACAGTCTAAGGCTGATGCGGTAATGGCTCTCTACAACCTCTCATCTTACGAAGGCAATAAGATCCCGATCCTCCAGACAGACCCCATCCCTTCCATTGTCAGTCTGCTCAAATCCTGCAAAAGATCTTCAAAAACAGCAGAAAAATGTATCGCTTTGATAGAATCTTTAGTCAGTTACGAGGAAGGTAGGACTGCATTGACATCGGAAGAAGGCGGGGTACTGGCGGTGGTAGAAGTTCTCGAAAGTGGGTCCCTTCAAAGCCGGGAACATGCTCTAGGAGCCCTTTTGACAATGTGTGAGAGTGACAGGTGTAAATATAGGGAACCCATTCTTAGGGAAGGTGCGATCCCTGGGCTTTTAGAGTTGACCGTTCAAGGGACACCAAAGTCTCAAGCTAAAGCACAGACTCTGTTGAGATTGTTAAGAGAGTCTCCGTTTCCGAGGTCTGAACTCCAAGCTAACACGCTTGAGAACATTGTTAGTAACCTTATATCACAGATGGGTTCAGGGGAGGAGCAGCCGGGAAAGGCGAAGGAGATGCTTTCTGAGATGGTGCAAGTTAGCATGGAGCAAAGCTTGAGACATTTGCAGCAAAGGGCGGCTATGGTTTGCACCCCTGCGGATCTATCTGTCACTAGGCGTGCTTCAAAAGTTTCTTCAAAATGACACTTCAAGAACATAAGTTTTCTTTTTGACGTAGTGGGGGGTGGGTGCCTTTGTAATTGTGACATCAGTATTGATTCTATACTAAAGAATAAGATGTCTCTAGCATAGATGCCAGTCCAGGCCCTTACAGGTTTATCTGGAGACTGGTCAATGTATTATGTATATAATCTGAATGGAACCACAATGTTTGGAACAGAGTTTTTTTATGAATACATAGACTTTGTGATGTATACTGTGGACAGATTGGTAATATATGATCCTTTTTTCCTCGAGAATAATATATGATCTGAGGTAGTTTATTCTCGCTTCCTCTCCTTTATTATCTTTAATTTTACTAAGGATGTTTTTACTTGGACAGTAAATTGCTGGTCTGATCTGGTCTGTTTAAGTCTCATCTAGTTTGGTCTGTTTGAGTCTGGTCTGAACTGGTCTGGTCTGTTAAATGTTTGGCCTTTTTGTATTTTGTAACTACGGAAGTTTGGTCTGGTCTGGTCTGGAACTGAAAATAGTCCAAATAAAAACATCCTAAAATGTTTTGTTTTCTTGGGTTGAATTTACTGAATTGCTTTGGGATGGAAGACTAAGCCTTGTTTGGTTCAAAGGAGGGGAGGGAAGGGGAGAGTCAAGGAGGGAAGGAAAGGGCAATGAATGATTTTGATAAAAAATTGTGTTTGGTTGGAGGAAATGGGAAGAAAGTTTAATGAAAATATTTTTCTAATTTACCTTTATTTGATAGCTTACTTAAAAAATTAGATACATCTCTAACTGTTATGAATATTACTCCTAAGGTCATGAGTGATAATATATATATATTTTTTGTACTTTTTAGTTTTTACTTTTTTAATTTCTACCTTTTGAATTTTTATTTTTAAAATTTTATAGATCTTTTAATTTTTTAATTTTTAACATTTGTAATTTTTTAATTTTATATTTTTTAGTTTTTTAATTTTTTTATTTTTATAATTTTTATATTTTTAATTTTTTTATTTATTTTTTTAGTTTTTTAATTTTTAAATTAAAGTTTTAATTTTTATATTTCTAAATTTTTTAATTTATTTTTATAATTTTAATTTTTTATTTTTTTAGTTTTTTCTCTCACCAGGTCCTCGCACCCATCATTAAGCTGTAGTATGCACACTTGACCTTCTCGTTATCCCTCAACTCGAGTCCTTCACCTAGGCCCCCCACTTTCTTCAACCAGACCCAAGCTTTGAGGGGGTCGGCCCCACCCTCAAAGTCCTTCGGGTGTGCCTTCTTTCATGTGATCAGTAATGACTCTCGGCGGATCACTTCATTCCACCCTCTCTCCCGATGATCATCTCTTCCCCCATCATCCTAGTGCTCATTCTCACGCTGATTGTTATTATTATTGTTTCGGCTACCTGCCTCGATTGTTGGACGCGAAATCAGGATGTTTTTGTCATCAATTTGCCTTCGCAGTTCCGCTACAACACGAACCAGCTCCGCATTACTGATTGACGAACCGCCCTCGTTACCTTGGCCCTCTCTGACATTTTGTGCGAGAGAGTTTCTTTAACAACTATTTTAACAACACACACACACACACATATATAGAGAGTTTGGTTCAAATAAGAACACCATCTAATAAAAAAAAAAGAAGAAATTCCACTTATGGTTCTTCGAGTTTTGCACCAATCCCTCAATTAGTCATCGTCTTTCATTTTATCCATTTTTGGTACCTGACTATTATTTTCTTGACCATATATAGTCCTTTTCCGATAGTAAAAATGCTCAGAAATGGACCACAAATGGTCAATAAAACAATAGTCAGGTACCAAAAATGGATAAAGTGAAAGACGAGAACTAAATATGGAAATGACACAAAACTCGGAGGACCTAAAGTGGAATTAATTCAATAAAAAAAATAAGAATGAATCCTGGCCATTAGATCAACTGATTTTCTAATATACTCATGTGTGTGTGCGCAGGTCAAATAGGTCATTGCAATTTCTCTTCCCTTATGTACGTAGCTATCCTTCCCCTTCCATATATATTTCTTTCCATTTTTTATCAGTCAAATAAAACTTTTATTCTTTTCCTTTTCAGTTACGAATGATATTTCCATCTACGTGAAATCAATTCAGATACGTTTGAGCCACTCGACGTTCTGACCGCCTCTTCCTCCACAAGAACTCTGAAGCTTCATTAATGGATAAAGGTCTGTTTTTTATTCTTCTTTCGTTTGTACTTCATATTTTTTTGTTTCATTTGTTGTTTTATATTCTTGAATAAGTTTCATTGTTTACGTTTCACGTCATGTACAGCTTTTACAAATATCTTCTGGGTTAACTAAGTATTGGAACCCTGAATGTGATGAAACGTTTAAACCAAAGCTTGACATGGTATTGAAAAATCTTTCAGATGGTATTGAGTTTTATAAGAAGTATGCAGATGCTTGTGGGTTCGACTCTCGTAGTGGTTCTCAAACTAAGGAACGCGGGCGGAGGACGCGCACCGTTTGATGAAAATATGTTGTGTGCAATAGACAAGGTTTCAAGAATGTTGCTAAAGGCAATCCGCCAGAAACCAGCCATGCTCCCGTAGTTAGCTCTGTTTGCACAACTAATTAAGGAGCAGAAGAGTATTCTGCTCTCATCACAACAAGGTAGTGCACACTTGACGACCAAAGCTTCCATAATTGAGCAATTTTGTGGATCAACAACTCTGTCAGAGGTTACCGTACTTCTGTCACAAGCTAGGAATAAGGGGTAAGGGTTGTGGTAAGCGCTTTAAAGGCGGTAAAGAAGTTGCAATACAATCAAAGAAGAAGTTAAGGTTGTGTAGAACTTGTAATGAGATGTGTAACCACGACAGCCGTAACTGCCCCATGAATAAGTCTGTTTGAAATGCGTTGCTCAACTATTTTTAATTTATGATTTCTTTGTAAAACTCCGTCCAAGTACTTTACTAGCTATGGGTTCTTTGGTTTACTGTTATTTTCTTAGCTTGATTTGACATTTTATAATGTTACAGATGTGCTTTTTTGTTTGTTTATGTTAGTCATTTATGTTTGGACATTAATGTTTTGGACCCAAACACAATACACGACTATTTCAACCAATCAGAATTATATTTGCACATTCCTGAAGTTCGTTCTACACATTTCATTCGCACTATTTTAACCTATCACAATTTTATTTTCAAAAAATAAGTGACTATTGCAAAATCGTCATTAACCAACGTTGATTACTTGAAACCAATCATTCGAATTTGTTGCACATTTTTTATGTTCAATAACGCACACTTACAATTACGGGTTATTAATCTTTTCTTAATTATATTAAAATCTTTATTTGTGCACATACATATATAATTGTATGCACATATGTGACTTCACAAGTGCATAATTTCATACAAAGAACTTTACATATACTTAATACTAACATACATGTCCCATTTTTCACAAAGTATGCTTTCACAACGCACGTCACACATTAAAAAAATCCAAAACGTTGTAAGCCGCACATTCCTTGTCGGATTCACTATGTAACTATCACAATTTTATTTTCAAAAAATAAGTGACTATTGCAAAATCCTCGTTAACCAACGTCGATTACTTGAACACAATCTTTCCAATTTGTTGCACATTTTTTATGTTCAATAACGCACACTTACAATTGCGGGTTATTAATGTTTTCTTAATTATACTAAACCCTTTATTTAATTTGTGCACATACATATATAATTATATGCACACATGTGACTTCACAAGTGCATAATCTCATACAAAGAACTTTACTTATACGTAATTCTAATAACGCACAAAGTATGTTTTAATAACACACGTCCACATTAAAAAAATTATATCCAAAACGCTATAAGCCGCACATTCCTTGTCGGATGCATTATTCTGTAATTATCACACATATTATGACCAGTACAAATCATATGAATAATATAGCAAATTTATCAAACTAAAGCAAAAATGCATTGTCCAAAAACTTTTTAACCTTCAAATTAAATGTCACAACAAGAAATAAAGTTCATGATAATAAAAGATTCGACAAACAATTGTTTAAATGTTTTCACAATAAAAAATCCTTATATTTTCCTTAAATAAAATGACACTTCTTTGATTTCCCGGTCTCTTGCTTCTTCATTTGTGTGTATTTCTGAACTGCTTGCATGTTTTTTTCTTCACCTCGTTGCACTCCGCTGAAATTATCGTTGCACAATGCTTAACTCTTAGTGCATCTTGGTGCTTCTTCTATCCCTTTTCTATACCAATGCCAAAGCCCCTTCTAATGTCAATTGGATGCTTCATCTACTTTCCCTGCTACTCTTATAGCTATTACGACTGCTACTTTTCAAAGTGCCTTCTACCCTCTGGGAAAGAAAGAGCTGTGCTATTGACCGGACCCTTTTTCTCATTTAGTCCACCCTTTACTGCCTTAACGCATATATGTTTCCACAAGGCATTTTTTTCACACGCATTAAAGGAAATTAACAGAGTTAGTTTTCACAAGATAATACACACACAGTATTAGTCAATTAAATACAAGAAATTATTGCACAAATGCTTTTAGCTAAATGCAAATACTAGTAAATTCAAATACACTAAATTATTACACCATATAAATCATGATCCAGATTTACCACTTTCACCATCAGTCATTAGTTTTTGCACAAATCCTTTTGTCTAAATGGGTACATCAGATTATTCATACTCCCAGATATACCATAACAGTCATACATGACATTTTACACAAATGCTTTTAGCAAAATGCATGCAGCAGATAAATCATGCTCCCGGTTGTGCACACATTTATTTATCAACTTTTTAACAAATGCTTCTACCTAAATGCGCATCCCATTTGCAATAAAAAATACACATTTCACACCATATAACATATTTTTCCACACGATTTCAAATACATTAACACAATTAGCTATGCACACACAATGCACACCACAAATCATCCTTTTCCACACAAACTCTACTCTATAAACTCAATTAGTCATGCACACACAATCCTTGCCAAATCTCATTCTTTTACACATGCACGCAATTAAATTCACACAATTACTCATGCACAAATATTTTTAGCTAAATGCAATTACTAGTCAAGTAGTTGACAATTCCCTTTGTATAAATAAAAGAGTCCATGTTGTTCTCAAAGCCACACACTACACACTCTGGAATTTCACATTGATTCACAAAACAGACATAAATGATTCCATCTAAATGCACATTCCATTTATATAAATAACACACATTGCACATTCCACAACTTACTCCACTCACACTCGGAATTCAATAAGTTAACACA